GTATATAGTTTTTTCTTCCACTTTACTAATGCATGCGTGCAAACACACTCATGCTACGTCATACCACAGGCTCTTTCTCAATCTTATACAGGTGTTGGTCCTACAGGCTAGAAGAAATTTTCGTGTTCAGGCAGCGGATGCGTGCTTTGGTTGGCGCCTTCGATCTCACTTCGAGGGGACACAGTAAAATGAGTAATGAAGGGGGAAGTGGCGAACTCCTCCCTTCATTGGGGCTTGCAACCCCTTCTAGAGACAACCAATGGATCAAATCGCAAAAAGTTTGAAAGGTTTTCGCGAGCCACAAGTTGACCGCTCGCGGGCCACATTTGGGCCGTTGGCCACAGGTTGCCCACCCCTGCTTTAAACAGTGAAAAAAGTGCCCTTTAATCTTTTAAAAGCTTTTGCCTTTATGAAAATGGCTTTTTTTTTAGCTTTAAATGACATGTGTTTTCCATTGCAAAACTTCTAAGCAGGAGAATCAGCACTCCAAACTTGATGCCATTGAACATGTTCATGAATAATTTTAATAATTTAATTCCATGGGACATTCATTCTTCAAACCAAAACCAGCCACCAGCTAAATTTATGCAGTCTTCGAAATCTATTCGATTTAAAAAAATTTTAATAAATTGTTAAATCTACATTTGCATCTGGGCTACATTACACTTCTTTGATAGGCTCTTAATTCCTCAGGTAAACATACCCAACTAAAGGATAATGAAGTATAGCACTTTTATCTGTAGTGACGCCAAAGTTTCCACAGCCCAATTTGTTGTTCCAAACTATCATACAATGCACATAAGTTATTAGAGGAATTACTAGAATTTGCATTTTCTCGAAAAATATTTTAACAATCCTCTCATGAAACACTCATTTTGACATAAATAAAGTCATCAGAAAATCTATGGCCTTGGGATAATTAGCAGATGCTAGGGGGGGAAAACTTTCTAAAATTAGCAGAAGTTGTTAAAAGAGAACATGTGCTCATTCACATAACCCGTATTTTACACGGTAGTTGGAAGTCATCAGAGCCCCTTCATCTCATAGACTTGTTTGTTTGTCTATAATCTGTGTTCTCACTGGTCAGTTGTTTATATCGCAAGTACCCATTTCTAGCTAATTAGTGGAAACTGCTGTAATTACTATTCCTAGCAACTTTTAATGGAGACAGAAGAGAAACACATCTCAAATCAATCATAAAAGTGAAGCAACAACCTGTGTTAGGCATATATTTTTAGCACAGAAAATCTATCAATTTTGAAGGCGAACAAAGTCCCTCTTCATCAGGAGCAAAGAAATCTGCAACTGAAAAAACAAATTATGAACATATTTATACCCTAAGGAGGTCGAGAGAGATGAGATGAGAGAGTAGCACCATCTGTTAGTAGAAATAATGACAAAAATTGAAAACCTAGGATAATAGAAATTTAAAAGCGTTAGGTAGGATTGAATTAAAATCATTAACTAAACAACCGTAAACTTTTGTGAATGTGAAAAGCTTCAAGAAAATTTAATTATCCAGGGAAAGAAGCTTTCTGGATAATTTTTGCAGACCCAAAGTCGAAATAATTGTGATTAAATTTCCCAACTAAGATTAGCAATCAAAGATTTGTAAATTCCTTCTTTTGGACATAAGATTTATGTTCCTTAATGCGAAACCTTAATGCTCTTTTGTTTCAGCTGATACATATTCGACCCACACTGACAAGATAAGATATGCTATAAAATTTCTCAAGAATTTCACAAGATATGCTATAAAATTTCTCAAGTCCCCCCCAAAGCATGGACTAGGTTATTAATGATTTGTTATTAAAATTTACACTATGAGTACTTAAGTGGCAAAATGTACCTTTCCTGGGTTTCTGAAATTTTGGAGAATTTAAATGCTTTTTTGATAGGGGCGATGATTTGAGAAACTAAAGGTTTAGATATCTTAAAAAAATTGAAGTTATATTTGAATACTTTTATCTGATCCTCTGAAAGATTAACATTTGAGATATTCACAATCAGATTAGCATTAGCTGTGGGAAGATAATCAGGATGGGCAGGGTTAGCCGAATGGGGTGCGAGCTTTTGGAATTTACTATCTAGGACCATTTTTAAGGCACACACAAGGGATTTCAGTTCTAGACCGAAGATTAATTTTGAAACGAGGACAAATTTAAATTAGAATTAGCAACTTTTAAATGAAGGTAATATAATTCATATTCAATTTTAGACAAGTGTTTGTGCATGTTTCTTATAATGTGATGAAGAAGAGACAATTTAAATTTATGAATAATTTTTTAAACACTAAGCGAGGATTTAAGACTACATTTCACTTTCACAAATTTGGGAATAACATTATGATGTTTGCATTTAAGCAAAAAATGGAGACAGTACAAGAATTTCATATACTTAAGATGTAACTTACAAAATCAGTTCCTGCCTGTTGACACATTTTGAAAGGCAAAATAAGCACGAAAAAGTGGTGAACATAAAAATTATGAAAAGCCGAGAAATAAATAAGGCAAATCAATAAAAATATCTAAAGAACAATGTTACAAACAAAATAACTGAAGAAAGTGAAACAGTACAAAAATGAAACAATATAGATAAAATTTAAAATAAGTAATACAAAGTAATTTCCTCAGAGTTAATGATTTTAATCCAATCCCACCTAATGCTTTTAAATCTCTATTATCCTAATTTTTTAAATTTTTGTTGTTATTTCTACTAATAGCTAGCGCTACTCTTCAGTCTCTCTCGACTTCCTCAGGGTATGAATATGTTTGTAACTTGGTTTTTCAGTTACAGATTTCTTTGCTCCTGATGAAGAGAGACTTTGTTCAGCCTCCAAATTGATAGAGTTTCTATGCTAAAAATATATGCCTAAAACATGTTGTTGCTTCACTTTTATAATTCTTCTGAATCGGAGAAAACAAGCAAGTGCAAAAGCCGCAAAATATTTAAGACCTTTACAAGAGGAATATGATAAAGAGAGGACGGACTATCACAGTTATGTAGTAAATGAATGCTAGTAAAAAATCTTTATTACAAGAATAATCATAATGTGGGTAAGACACTTGTTTCTACAGGAATTTCCACAAATTAATAACTCCTTAGAATGGTCAAATTTGAAATATGTGAATTCAAATCATACCCCAAGAATTCAGCCATTCTAGGGGTATACTTTTTTTACTTTACTTTTTATAAACTTATATACTTTTTTTTTTTCTGAGGATCACTCAGGAGTTGTCATCTTCTTTCTTTTTTCATACAGCTGGCCCAGATGGCAGGTATAGATCAAGGTCTATACCTGAGATCTACCTATAGATCAAGGCCTAGCTGAACACAAAGGTGCAGCTAGGGTGAGGCAAAAAGGGGACATCTGTCTCTGGGTGCTGCATCTGGGGGATTACAAATTCATTTTAAGAAATTTTAAAATAAAATGTTTTCCATTCTTGCCATCCTAAATGGGTGCAAAAACTTTAGTTGTCACCGGGTGCTGGAAACCCTAGCTACAGCTTTGATTGTGTAGACAGACCTTGGGTATCAATAAACAATACCTAAAAGCGTTTTTTATAAAGACAATAAGGAAAAATTTAAGTATGGATTTGTTGTCATTTTTTTAACTGAATTGCTTCTATTGTAAAGTGCTTTAATATATTTTGCAAATAAAGGTATCCAAGCCCTGGTGTTGCCCCCATAACTTCCACATTCGAACGTACTTGTCAGTACTTTTTGAACCAGTGAGTATATTGATTATTTCTCATTTAGGAAGAGCTTAAAAGTGAAACACAAATGAATTTCTCTGTAAATATGGCCAAATTAAGAAAGGAAAAATGGTCAATAAAGGGTCGCGGGTTTATCGCATCGGATTAGTATTTCAGAACAGTCAAGTGCAATATCATCAGAATTGATCTTATCTACAAGTCAGAAGAATATGAAGAATGGATAAAGATGTCAAGCAAAAAGCAAAATTTAAGGTAATACGAACTAGCACTGATCAAATCAAGTTAAAGATTTTCAAGAAGTCGGGGACTAGTTTCTATGAAAATCTAGTATCAGATGAAAGCTACAGCAGGCATATCAGAAATGAAGTTAAAGTAGCCTTCACAATATCGTTAATAGGGCATTTAATCATCTGTGACCCATGTAAAGTCAAGACATCTCTTTTCATATGCAGTTTGAGACAAGATATGTTTACCTTCAGAAAATTTTGCATCACTCCCTTGACCCTGTCAAACCAAACAGCATTTAGTGAAGGAAAGAATTTGATTAATGTAAAGAAGATCATGGATGTTTAAAAAGAGCATTCAATACATACCGACTGAGCATACAGACTTTCAAAATTTCATAATGCACAAGCCGGAAACAGGAATAGAAAGCAACAAGGAGAATAGCGAAAAGAGGATTAAAGTTTCATTATAATTGGGCACACTCTTGTTTTTTCTACTTATTGTTATTATTACATTTTTAAACAGATTTCACTAACTTTCCAGTCTGTTTATCTAACAAAATACAATTTAAAATTTTAATGCTATTATTTTTTTTATTATTTTATAATTTCACAACAGATTATACCTAATTTTCTTAGCAATGTTTTTCTATAGCTATATTATCTTAATGTAACATTGGGTTTTAGAAACAACAACAAATTTTTCATAATATTGAGTGTTTTTCTATTTCGTGAACCAATCGGAGAAGAAAAAATATTGCAATTTGTAAAAAGGAGATAAGTTTATTTATTATTACTTCTTTAATTTTAATTTTATGGGTGGGACAGGTCAATGAACAGAATTGTTTAAATGACAATGGATCACTTGGATTAGTCACATAAAAACTAACATTTTTAACATAACTTTTCACTCCTAACAATTTAATTACATCTTTCTTTCAAAATGAAATGTATTACATTTACATACTGGTAAATTTCTTTTCTTGTCATAATATCAGTGACAAAACATTTATTTGATTAATCCAACTAATTAAGCAACAAACAAAAGAAGTAAACTTACTAGGGAAATCCTAAAGACACAAAATCAATAACTGAGTTAAGCTGAGTTCAATATAAAGTTTGGAATGAAAGCATATGATCTGGAAGATCAAACTTCATTTGGGAATAATATGAAACCTACAAAAAAAAAGTAAACAAGATATAACATAAGAAAATACATTAAACTAACTCTTTACTGCATATAGTCTAATGATTTATTTCAATTAGTTTAATATAACTTTAGAAATAAACTATACATAAAAATCCACTCTGAAAATTTTCATATTGATCATTCACATTCTTTTTTTAATGTCTTCAAAACATTTCAGTTAATAGTTCCATTTACTAAACTATCATGAAGTAAACTTAAAAAATGGCCCTCTAGGTGACATTAAAAATTAATTAATGACTATTATTTAAACAGAGATAATTATGTGAACTATATTGGTTCTGAAGATACTAACATTTTGCCATTTGGCTAATGTTGTTATTATATGTATTGTAGTTTATAATAAGCCTTGCAGCTCTTTAAAAAGATCTTGTGTCCAGGAAGTCGTATGCTTTGACCTAGATGCCAGTATTGGGTAATTTATAAGGGTACTTACGTATCAATACAACCACCTTGGAGCAGTTTCTCTATTTTTTATAGATGAAAGGGTAAAAATTACTTATGGGGTGCCAGTTCGTGAATTTCGTGACTTTTTTTTAAATTATTCCCAAACTATAGATATTTACCATAAACTGGCAGACATTATCAACATATTAAAAGAAAACATACATAAAGTTTTTTAAATACAAATTTTAATTACTTAATAAGGATTACATGATACATTTAAAGAAATATAACACGTGTGTGTTGCAAAATCTTCCTTTATTGTTAATGCTGTTTGTTCTTCTCCCCATTTACCCAGCGATGGATTTTTGCATTGAAAAAAAAAAATCACAGAATTTCACAAAGTTCGGTATTGCAAACCAATTATATACCAAATGCATCTTATTATTGTTCCCTTGAGTAAATTTGTGGCAAAATAAAATATTCCTGATGAAATTTCAACAGAAATTTTGTTCTTTAATTAGGTATCTTGTACATGCTTAACAGCTGCAAAAAAAATGATACATACTATTAAGATGGGTTGTGGATAATATGCATCTACCTTTATAGGTAAAGTAAAACAAGATATAAAACATAAGAAAATACATTAAACTAACTCAGTTTACTGAATTATAGTCTAATGATTTATTTCAATTAGTTTAATATGACTTTAGAAATAACTATACATAAAAATCCACTCTGAAAATTTTCTATCGATCATTCACATTTTTTTTTAAATATGTCTTCAGAACATTTCAGTTAATGCGTTATATTTAAGGAGCTATCATAAATCAAACTTAAAAAAAAATGGCACTATTCAAGTAACTAAGTGAGATTAATTAATGACTATTATTTAAACAGAGATAATTATGAGAACTATATTGGTTCTGAAGATACATAACATTTTTTGTCATTTGGCTAATGTTTATTAATATATGTATTGCATTTTATAATAAGCCTTGCAGTTCTTTGAAAAGATCTTGTGTCCAGGAAGTCTCATACATTGACAGAGATGCCAGTACTGGTTAATTTATAGAGGTACTTATTTATCAACACAACCACCCTGGAGTAGTTTCACAATTTTTTTACAGATGAAAAGGTAAAAATTACTTTATGGTAAAATAGGTATGTATGGTTAAAATGGGGTGCAAGCTGGTGATTTTTGAAGATTTTTTTTTTTAATTATTTCTAAATTCCCAAATATTTATCATAAAATCACAAGAAAACATATTTTAAAATTTGTAAATACAATTTGTGATTGTTTAATAAGGATTACATGATACATTTAAGGAATAAAACACATTTTTTGCAAAATCTTCCTTTATTTTTTAATGCTGTTCTTTTACGCATATACACAGCGATTGATTTTTGCATAAAAAAAAAATCACAGAATTCCACAAACTTGGTACTGCAAACCAATTATCTACCAAATGCATCTTATTTTTGTTTTCTTAAGTATATTTGTGGCAAAATAACATATTCCTGAAATTAAATCTTACAATAAAAAATTACACAGAGTGACAATACGAAATACAGGTAAATAATTGTAAAACATCAAATAATAACATCAACAAATCAAACTACTATAATAAGAAAATACAATAATTAATTACAAACATACTTTTTGTTTAATCTGGACATAGGTAAAAGACATTATTTATTAATTGATCTTTTAAAAATACCTCTTTTCGTTTTCACTGAAACTACTCTAACCTTATTGTCTTTACCTAAGAATATCTCTACGATCTAAAGCCAAGAGGCCAGTTACATACAGGAACATTATCAGTCTTTTAAAATTACCATAGTTCCAACCTTGACATTGTCTTTTTCAAAGAACCATTAGTTCTTCCTTGAATTGCACTCAAATAGTTATTTCTCCAATACTTCCAAATTGTTTGTACTATTTTAGTCAATTTTTGCCAGCTCTTTAATCTATTATAGTTAACATTTAAATATTAGGTTCTGCAATAGCCGTGATAGGTCTGCCTATCAAGGAAGTGGCCTGGTGTCAAGATATCAAAATCCTCTGGTTCGGATGATAAAGGTTGCAAGGGCCTAGAATTCAAAATGCCTTCAATTTGAGCAAATTACTGTAAGAAACTCCTCATAGGTTAGTTTCAAATTGCCTACTACGCGTTTCAAATGAAACTTAACAGATTTGACACCTGCCTCCCAAAGACCTCCATGATTGGGAGCTCTAGGGGGAATGAACGACCAATCAATACTACTCTCACTCGATAAATAATTACCTAATTCATCATCTGGTTTGCTGACTAGCCTATTCAATTTCTTTAATTCTGCGTTACTACCAACAAAATTGGTTGCGTTATCTGAAAATATGCATGCACACTTGCCTCTCCTGCTGAAAAAACGCTTTAAGGTTGCAATAAATGCTTGACTAGATAGGTCTGTTACCAACTCAAGATGACAAGCTTTGGAACACAAACAAACGAAAATGCACACATACACCTTGTTAAGGCGACCTTTTCTCTGATGTGGGTTTATTTTATAAATAAGGACCAAAAAAATCAACTCCAACACAATTGAATGGAAAATTCGGGCTGACTCTTTCTTGAGGGAGTTGACCCATAAGTTGTTGACAGGGCACTGGTTTTGCTTTGAAACATACGACACACTCATGTACTATTTTTCTACAAGTGTTGCGCCCGTTTAAGGGCCAAAAACCTTGTCTAACAATAGACAGTAAGCCTTGTGGACCAATATGCATGTATTTCTTATGAAACATCACAATAATTAGATTAGTCAACTTATGATTCTTTGGTAAGATTATAGGAAATTTTCTATCAAAATTCAAACTTACAATTAGCTAATCTGCCTCCAACTCTTAAAATTCCATATTGATCTAAAAATGGAAAAAAACACTTCTTACCTTGCTATCTGGAGGTACCTTACCCTCCTTTTCAAGCTTGATTGAGATTTTTTTTAAATTCACTATCTTGAATTAGCTTAATCAGTTTAAGTTCAGCTAATTTTAAGTTCCGAGCTCTGAAGAGGACCTGAAACCTTATCCTTCCCCTTGCAGTTGTTTACAAACCTAAAAATAAAACTTAAACACGAATATTTTAGTGTAATTGTTACTTAAATTTAAGAAATCCTCAATGAAAGGGTTAGCTTTCACATTAAGAAAAAATATTAGAGTCACTAAGGATTTTAAGTTCGTCTGGAAAGTCCTTCACAATGACTTCCACCGGAATCTCTCTATTTGGGTAGTCGTGTGTCTCAGGAAACAGAGCGCCTTTCCACCACATATCATTTTGTAGAAGTTTACTAGGATCCAAGCCTCGGGATATAAGGTCACTCGCATTCTCCTTTGAAGACACATGACGCCATTGATGACCATTAGTCAACTCTTGAAATGTTGCCACTTTGCAACAAATGTCTTCAACTGGTAAGGCTCCTTTTGTATCCATGAAAGCATGATCATGGAGTCACTCCACAGATAAACGTTGTTCACAGAAATCTCTAATGCAGATATTACTCTAACCATCAACCTTGCAAGTAGGACTGCCGCACAAAACTCCAGTCTCGGAATAGTAACTCGTTTAATAGACGAGACTCTGGATTTACTCGTCACTAGTGTCTTGGAGGTCTATAAAGAGACTGTTTCTGTTTTAGAGTGAAACTCGATAATATGTTGCGCCTGCGCGCGCATTTCATCACTAACGTCGGCGCATGCTCTTGAGCTCTTAGAGTTTGTGACATGAGATTGTGAGCTAAGAGGTGTGAGAGAATTCGTGGCTTCGAGTGGCCAGAACAATGTTAAATTAATGAGAATTAAAGTGAGATATAATACAGTCCATTGTTCTGAGTTTATTGAATTATAGTGTAGTGCCTGTGCAAAACATCATGGTCCATCGAGCGGAGATCTATGGATAAGAGTTATTTACAAGTAACAAGTAAGTCAGCAGTTTCGATTTAAGAAATAAAGTGCCATTTTGTTATTTTGGATACTGTGTAAGAGTTTTGAGAAAATTATAGTATTATTACTGTGGTTACTGTGTTTAAGTAATTGAGAAGAATTACTTATTATCTTGTGTTATTTCATTAAGGGTACAATGTTGATAAAAAGGTGCACATAAAGAGGATTTAAAGCTATTGGCTTTAGAACTGAATATAGAA